GCCCACAGCATTGTGTAGGCCCTCCCATACTTTCCCCTGATTACCCTCAGGACAAGAGGCACTAATTGCCTGCTGCAGCCTGTAAGCACAGATCACCTGGCCAGCATGCACAGGTCAATTCACTGGTTAACAAGTGAAACAGAAGCCCCCTGGCTGAACTCCCCCAAGAAGAAAAGGTGTGAACTTGCCTGGGACTTCATCTCCCCCTCCCAGAGACTGATTTTTGTGAAATTTTAAAGACCTTTTGAAGAAAACTTTGGGATGCCTATCCCACTGTCAGATTTGGCTGAAGTCTACTGAAGTTGTTAAAATTAAATTGATAGAGTGATTACACAAGCTTTCTTTCCTTTGAAAGTAGGCTAAAAACCCATTAACAGTCTTACTTATGTCATCCCTTCATTCTCATTCTTCATTTAAAAATAACAATCCTATTCCACTGCATTAGCTTACATAATCCACCCCTGAGCTGAAATACTTGAAACTTTCAGGCCATATTTATTATGTGAATGTGTCTATATGTTTGTCCATTTTAAGGTGCTTGGTGTTATGAAGAATAATAGCAAGAAGATAGGTAAAAGCAAAGAAGCATTCCTAATGGCTATCCCCCAAAGTTTCTGGACTGGTATCATTGCATGCAAGAACTGAACTGCTTTTTCTCCAGCGAGCTGTCAGCCGTTCTCATGGTTACTGATCTAGGAATTTGCAACGACGGGTCACAGTTATGAGAATGAGTATGTTATTTACTAGATAGAAACATGCCAAATAAATATTCTCCAAATCAAGGGGACAAGAGGCTGCTGTACATTATCATGCTGTTTATCCTCTGTGAAAACCACTTTTTAAAGTCTCTCTGTCCCAGCAAAGAAGGCGCTAACCAGACTTGCATAGTTCTTAAAATTGCTCACTCACATAATGAAGACAAAAATACATCTCTTGCACTCTCTCCATTACTATAAATGGACCAAGGGGGCTTTCACTGACAGATTCAACTGCGTATATACACTTTCCAGATGGTGTGAAGCAGCGGCAGAAAAAGCACACTTCCCATCTAAACACAATAAAAGGCAGGAACGTGAACTCTTGTCATAGGGTAAAATCTGTCCCATTGATTTGTTACTTTAAAAAAAAAAAACACAATATTTTTTTTAAGTTAACCACCAAGATTTGTGAAGCTCCAGATATGATGTTACAAATTACACGTACACCAACACAAGCAACTGGTTTCCACAGAAGCACAAGTTCAGCTCACAGGGTAGCAGCAGATCAGGCTTCTCTCACACTTCTAACTGTTGGTTGTCGGAGGGGCCTTCCTCCGGGAGAGCCAGGGCAGCTCAGTTTCCAAAGCTGCTATGAATTATCACAAAACAAAGCGTGGAATTTGTGATGAAGAAGTGAAACGCTTACCCACCAACTTTCTCTCAGCCATGGGCCTGCCTAGATGCGAACAGTGCTTTGTCCCTGCAGCTCCAGGCTGGAGCTATACCATAACTGTCAGCCACCAGCCCCACAGCATTCACTACCTCAGCAAGGGACCCAGCACTCCAGGGACATACCCACGTACCGCACTCAGCAACAAAACACAATTTAATGCTGTCACGATGTGCCAACTCGTCCACGCCAGAAGGCTCCATGAATCATTTAACTGAACAACCGCCTGCCGGCCCAGCGCGCTGCCAGGCAGAGCAGTTTTCCAAGGCGCACAGCGGGCACAGCACCGCGAGGCTTCCTGCCACAGCATTTAAGGCCTGGTGGCTCCTGGGCAGCAAGCCCTGTGTGCAGTGACAGCTCCAGTCTTCTGTGTTTCACTTGGGCCCGCAGGGGAAGTGCAAACTTTTGAAGACCCAACTGGGTTTTGACCTCTAGGTCAATGAGAGAGGCCTCTAGCTGAGTAGCCTGGGAGGGCCTTCCTCAGCTTAGGTCTCAAGTTCCTGCGTCTGCAGATGGCAGCCTTGAAGCCCTGATAACAGGAACACTATCAGAACTTCTGCTCCCACAGTGGAAGACCTGGGCAAGTTTCCAAGGTTCCTGCTAGGCACTGGGGAGCCTGGTAGGCTTGACAGTTCAGCAGTCCTGTGAGCCCTGGTCAGAGCTTAGTTGTGAGGTGCCAGGCTCCATAATCCTAACGTTTCCAAAGAAAAGTCTGAGGAAATTCTAATACAAGAGAAGCTTCAAAATGCAACAATTTCCCATGAATTAGGGAACACCAAGTTCGTTCCACTTCTGATTTCAATTTCATGCAGAAAATCTCTAATGTCTGTGTTCCACTCTGAAAATGAACCTTCGTTTTCTAAAATACACACACTAAACCAATAAATAAGAATCGAACATGCATGTTTACCTCTAAATACTACCTTCAAAATACAAAAATATTCCTCAAGTTATCCTAAAATTTCTAGTTATTTTCATATGCACATGTCTGCCTTGAGCCTAAAGCCTTCCATTCACACCACAGGGACCTACTCATCCTGCCTCAAGACTAATTAGCAGAAAAGATACGTCCTGTAAAGGTGAACCCACAGAGGTTCAAGGCTCACACTTCTGCTTGGCATGCTATGTTTCAGTAAAGAAACAGCATCTGTAAAGACTGGACAACTGGGGCTGGCTAGTATCGGAGTATTGCCCGGTACCAAAAGAACAAGCCTGTCCTGGTCACCTTCAGGTACCAACAAGCCCAGGGGGCAGCCACTCGAGATGGAGGGCAGCACACAGTGCCAAAGGGAAAAGTACAGATTCCCAGGATCCAAGCTCTCTGTGGGTAATGCAGCAAGGAAAGGAGGGATGAACTACACAAGCATGCACCAAGCAGATGAAAGATCTGGCTCATTTTATTTATTAGGCAATGTCATAACTTGTTGATGCTTAGTGCTGCCATTTTAGAGTCCTAGATACAAGCCTCAGCTCTGGTTTGCCACCTTGCTGCACAAGTGGCAATGAGATAACTAACGACCAGCAGAATGCAGGCACCTGGAGAACAGCTTATCCCAGCCACCCACAGGTGTGGGAAGTTAACTTGACTGCTGAAAATATTTTACCAGGTGAGTGAGTACCTACTTAATTAATGAAACATTAACAAATACCAAAGCTGCACAGAATTTGGGAAACCTGCAAAAAGCTTTATAAAAAGATTGAATTCTCATACTATTGAAGTTCTCAATGCCCAAAGTTCTCCCCGTGCACCTAAATGAATAGGATGTTCTCTCAGACTTTCATAACGTGACTACATGTATTCTTATATGTGTATAAATCATTTGTAAAGCTTTGTTTTTTTTTAATTTCTTGTCATTAAAAGGTGAACAGAGCCTTTATTGACTTTGCACAGTGCCTAGAAACTTCCTAAAATGTAAAAGAAAGTGATGTTTTTCACATCCACTTACACATGTCAGACTGGAGGGAAAGAAACAGTTTAATAAATAACTTCGGATTCAATATTGCATACAATACCAATGTACCCCAAGGTGCAAAAGCAAAACATTGAAGGCAGCCTGGTTTCTCACCTGAAGAATAGTTTTTGCTTTGTGTTCACAGACAAGTTAGCAGGAACTACAATGCCATCCCAAAGTTCTCTGCATTGCTAATGTTATCAGTAAATTCTTGCTCCCTACTTACCACGCATACGCCTCACAGCTTTACCTCCACAGAGTTCATTATCCCACCCACTCGCCCACTGCAACAGCAGGGATGTTGAGTCAAAGGATCCAACAGCCCTTTTCCATCTTTAATTTCTATTCTTCTGCTACTTTCACAAAATCCCCACTTGCACAGCACATAGTTCAGAAAAGAAAGGAAAATGGTGAGAGTAGTGATTGCTTCCCTCTATACACCACTTTCTATCTCAGGATAGAAAGTACAAATTAAGTAGTATTATTACAGGCTTCTTGGAACGCAATATAACAAAGTACAAAACTTTTTTTTTCCCCCAAACCAGGCCACAAGTTGATGCAAACAAAACCAATATTGCGCACAGCATTTTAGCTTCTGTACTATGTGTCCTCTAAAGTAGTAAACCCACAATTACCCTGAGAAAAGTCCAGCTGGAGGTATCACCTACAACTAGCATTACTTCTTGCTTATATATATTTCTTTCAAAACATATGTTCTGCTTGAAAACAATTCAGTGCCAATGAGTTGGCAGCAGAACAACAATTTAAGTTATGTTCTCAATAAATGTAGGAGGGGGAATTTGCTAAAGCAATGTATTTCATTTACAAAACCCCAAGGAACACATTACAGGGAGTCAGGCAGATATATGTTAATGATCACAAAAAAAAAACAGCTAAGTAGATGCCTTTAAAAGCTCACTTCATGGATGAAAGCTGCCAAATTACAGAGGGGATTTACTGAGAAGAATGTGTTACTGCCAGAATGGACAAAAGCATGCATTCTACCCATTCCAAGCTCCTCCCCATCTCCTGTCATGCTCACAGCAAGAAGCAGCTCAAAAACTGACAGCCACAGACTCCAGGATTGGAAGAGACAAAAAAGAAATACCTGCTGGTAAATGCCTGGAAAAAATGTTATTTTGAAGATCTAACAAAATAGACTGGGGAAAAAAAACAAAACAAAACAAAAAAAAAACACCCTACCCACGAGCAAAACAACGCCCCCAAGAATTCTTGGGACAGCAAGCACAGTTTCACAGGAAACACAACACACCTGAGGAGGTTTTAGAAGGGCCAACGCACAGAAGCATTTTAAAAATAAGAGCAGCAAGCTGCACGGTGCGGTGCGCTGCCACCAGCCCAAGACAGAAGTTTTCCGCAGTTTGTGTGGACGAGCAAACAGCACTTTCACCCCAGCTGAGGCACAAGCCTCACTGCAACGGGGGGCTGCCTGGCGACCCCCAGGCAGCCGGCACTCGTGGGCAAGCCCCGCACGCAGAGCGCGGTTCAGAAGCCTTTTCTCGAGTTTTTCTTTCTTTTCTTTTCTTTGTTTCTTTCCGGTGCGTGCTGCCGCGCCGTTGTTCCCAGCTACAGAGCCCCCCGGCGGGTCGGCGTCCCTACCTGGTTGTGCTCCTCGCCGTGCTCCAGGTGCACGATGCCCTGGCTCCTGCCCTCCGTGTCGCTCAGCACGTCGTCCTCGGAGTCCTCGAGGAGGGACGAGGAGCCCGTGGAGGAGAGCGAGGAGGTGGAAAGGCGGCGGGACTGCAGGTGCAGCGAGCTGTCCGTCCTCAGCCAGCCGCTCTCCGCGTGCGACGGCGGCGCCTTGGGGCTGCCCTGCGCCTCCTCGCCCTCCTCGGGGGTGACGGTGAGGCGGGGGATGACGGGCGGCAGCACCCCGTTGGGGGGCCGGCAGCCCCTCTTGGCCGGGTCGGGCAGCTGCCGGGCGGCGGCGGCGGCCACAGCGGCGCAGCGAGCCTCGAAGAGGGAGCGCAGCTCCCCGACGCTCAGCCGCGGGGCCAGGCTCAGCTCCGGGCTGCCGTGCAGCCCCGCTCGGGGCTCCATGGCCCGCTCGGCGCCGGCCGCCGGCCGGGCAGCGCCCCAGGGCGGGCGGCCGGGGGCGTGCATGAGGGAGCGCCGCGATGCGCCGCCGCCGCCGGAGAAACTTCTTTGTCGCTCGCTCAGTCGCCGGCCGCCGCTCGGAGCCCGGCGGCGAGGCTCATGTCCAGCCCGCCCTCCCTGGGCAGCTCCGAGGCAGCCGCAGCCCGGCTACCGCGCCCGCTGCCCCGCCGCCAGGGCCATGGGGGCGCTGAGCCGCCGCCCCGCTCCGCCTCGGCGCCGAGGGGAGGAGCGAGCCCGGCCCCGCCGAGCCGAGCCCCGCGGCGGGGAGCCCCCGCCCGCCCCCTGCCTTGCCTCTTCGCCTTCCCGTCCCTTCGCCGCCTCCGCCCTTTTGCTTTCGCTTTCCCTCAGGCGCCCGCCGCTCCCCGAGGGCCGCCCCGGGGTGGCACCGCCTCAGGGCGGCCCCGCGGGGCGCCCCCCCCCGGCCCGCCCTTACCTCAGCCCCCGCCGCGCGCTCGCCAACGGCCAACGGCTCCCCGGGCACGGCGGCTGCGCGAGCCCCGGCCCGAGCCCCCCTCAGGGCGGGCGCCCGTGACATCCCCCCCCCCCCCCCCCGCCTTCCCTGACTGGATTTTTTCCAAGAACCGCACTCCCCCCCCCCGGCTTTTTACTTCTTGCCCGCCTGACTCCCACTCTGCCTAAAACGTAACCCTGCTGGGTTGCGACATGTGTTGTAATTGTAGGTATTAAGGCCCTTGGAAGAGGAGCGGCGTCCTGCCGCAGGGTTACATCAGCTGAGATGATTAGTAAAATTAATAAATTTGGAACCGACTGCTAAAGTCTTCAACTTAGTTTTTGCTCATTTATCTCATTGTTTCCCTGCTCTCTCCCATCTGTCTCTCCCATCTGTTGTCTCTTGCCTGGTGCTCAGGCAGGGAGCTCCTCAGGAAGGGGCTGCGCTCGCTCCACACATGATGTGGCACGGCCGTGGCTGGGCTCCTGGACCCTGCCATGCTGCAGATAAGCTTTTGATAACCCACCTTGCTGCATTTGGGTTACTCAGTTGCCGTTGGGTATTTCACAGCCCAGTCTCACAGATATTCCACGCAGTGTGTTCCAGTGAGGTGGCTGCTGAGCTGCTCTCAAGCACAGAGCTTGCAAATGCCCTGGAGCACACCCAAAGGCAGTGGGGGAACTCCACGAGCAAAAATTCAGGCGTCTTTAGAGACTTTTCTAGAAGCAGGTGCTGCCAAGGGGTATGCGGTGGGTGAGGCAGGGGTGACAACTACCCCAAAATTACATACACTTACCAGTAAAGTGCAGAAGAAAATGTTTGGCAGTGCAGTATTTCACTAACAGAGGCTCAAAACCAGCACAACTGTAGTCACTTGTTCCTTCAAGGTAGACAGGAATAGTTTTGAGTTCTTCCTGAAAGAAGATAGAGTCATCACTTTTATTACGAACTGCATAAGTCATTTCAAATTTTATAGTGCAGAAAGTCTTAAAGTATGACTAGGCCTCAGACATACTGAGAGTCATAATTTAATTGAAAGCGTGAAGTGATGGCTTTCTAAGAATACTCGCAGTTAAAAATTTACAGTTACAGCAGAAAACACAGTATCCAGTTTAAAATGGTTGTGGAAGATTACACATGCACAAGCTGGGCCCACTTAACTCATTTCTGTAGCTGTGACAGCTGCTGTCTGTAGATGAGCAAGATAGAAAAAAAGTTTATCCAGAGGACAGAGGTAGGTGCAGGTTTCCACAGGCCAAGCAGGGAGCCCTTCTGCAGGTGAAAGGACAGCTCAGCTTCCAGCGAGCTGCGGCTCACTCTGCTGATTCTGCAGTTGCAGGATTATGCGGGGTCCATGATTAGGAAACCGGCCAGTTACATGGTTTCCTTATTTAGGAAACCTTAGCTCTCGCAACCGTTCTGAGACCACCAACACACTCTACATAGTTCATTCTACAATTATAAAATATAATTTAAAGGTTTTAATTTCAACTCATAAAAATAGGTACAAAATACATGCAACACAATGTTAATCAATTGATACATGTATAAAATAGAAAAACAGCGTTTTAATTATATCGAATACTGGCAATTGGTTGGATTGCATTAGATGATAGCTGCTTTTATAATGCATCGGCTTTGGAGAGATACTGATCTCTGAAATGTGGGTAAGATTTAACTTGAAGTCTTTCAACACTAGCAGGAGGATGAAGAAATTCTTCAGTCAGCCAGGTATCACTGCATTAACTCATCGATGTACAACCGTTTTAAGAAAAGGAATGGTGACTGTGACCTGATGGTGAAGTGGAGATGACTTGTATTTTCCACTTGTGAAATGCTGCATTCCTGAGAGCAAAGGACTGTCAGCACTCATTAATGATGCTTGGCAAGAGCTAAATCTGATAAGATACAAATATGTGTCCCTATTTTGCAGATGGGTAAACTGATATGCAGACAGCAAATGGGTTGACTGCAGGCATATAGTGAGTCAGTGGCAGAAAAGGGCACTTCAGATTTGCTGCCTGCTACTCTAACCGCCAGATCACGTTCCCACCTCCAGGGGTGGTAAGTTTGTCTATTGCAGCCATTCTGATTCATATTGATATTACCCTTACAGCTGTGGTTTCAAATTTCATACAGTCCTGATACAAAAAACAACTTCTGCCTTTATCTATGTGAGAAAAAAAAAAAAAAAAAAAAAAAGAGAGACTATTTCACTCCCATTAAATCCTTTCTAAACATCGTTTTTATTAATACACTGCTTATTTTTACTTCCTCTTAGTTTGCATTCTCACAGGGTGTCTAAGCCTTGACAATACAAAAGCAATAAATATGTTACAGATGCTTCTAGTAGACTTGAGTGATTTCACGTAGAAAAAAGTTTAAACATGATCCAGAGGGGAGCCTTGGATTTAGTTTAGCACGTATAAAATACCTCACTCCCCACATGAGCTAAAAGCATGGCAGCTGAGAAACACCCCATCTTTCAGTTCAACCTGAGTATAGCCTACAAAGACCTCAAAAGCAGACAAAAGTTGTGATTCACGTGTTGCTTTTGGAACAGATAGAAGAAGATAATGTTCATAAGTTTTGATATCTCTCTCAGGACCAACCAATATAATTGGGAAAATAAATAAAATAAAATAAAATAAAATAAAATAAAATAAAATAAAATAAAATAAAATAAAATAAAATAAAATAAAATAAAATAAAATAAAATAAAATAAAAAATAAAATAGTGGGTCAGCTTTCGTATACGAAGGTCCTTTTAAAGAACTAGAAGAGAGGTACCCGAGCCTGACAGCCCGTCCTGTCGGAGGGAGGAGGATGCTGCCTTGCTCACAGGCTCTTCGTTATGAGGCCTGAGGTTCCCCCCAGTGGTGGAAACCGCGAGCACAGCTCCCCGGAGAAGAGAAGCGACGAGCGGTGGCCGTTCCTGTGTTCCCCAGCCCTGCTGTCAGCTCAGCTGTCAGTGCGCCCTAGTACTGCTCCTGGGCAACACGCAGGCTGTGAAAAGCTGGGGGCCTGAAAGAAGAACCCCAAACAGCTGGGGAAACTCTGGGAAGATGCTGCTGGGTTTAAGTGCTGGAATAAAGTTCTTTTGGATGCGGATTCCAAGGATGTGAGAGATGACTTGGCAGGGGATACTGGGATTTGAGCAGGCCCTCAGCTACAAGGGGGCTGTAGGGTTTTGGTGGAAGTGAGCGTGGTGGTGTTGATCTCAGTGTAAGGTTTAGAAGAACTTACAGTATGATAACCTTCAGGACAGCAGCAGTAAGCTGTGGAGGTCCCCTCGTGGCTGAAATTAAAATTACATTTCCAAATCGTGTTCCTGAACAAAAGTACCAGAACTATTCAGCTACCTAGCACACAGTTTTAAGTGTGGGAGCTCGTGGGGGACAGAAAATTTCTCAAGCACAGGCATCGGTAGCCCCTGGGAAAAGGGGCTGTAAGTGCCTGAGATCATCAAGTGAGAGCCACAGTGGTGAGAAAAGATGCAACATTAAGGCCAGGGAGAAGGAAGGAGTGCACACAGCACCAAAATGACTTGCAGCACTCTGCTGCTGGCCTCAGGGCCAGTATTCAGGCATCAGAACAGGATGGGAGGAGGAAAGGCCCCAAGTGTCTGTCGAGAGGTGAAGCCAGGAGAGTAAGTGGCAGCAGCAGTGCACCTTTTTTGGCTTGAAAAGTGCATTGTGTGCTCCCTCCTTGGAGGGCTGCACATTGGTGGAACTGGATCTGAGATGCTCACGTGGTTTCTGTTTTTGTTCTGCCTGTTCTCAGCTTAAATAAAAGATTCTGCTTCCATGGCTGTAATTTTATCACAAAATCCACATGAAATTGTAATGACAAAGCAAGAGGAAGTTTTGCTGTTTTATGTTTGAGACAATTAGAGGAAGACTTCACCGTAACAACCACGTTCTCCATAGTTCCCTGTCAACTGACTCTAAGAAGTGCAGTATGAAGCCTTGATTTAAAGATAATTCCTCCAGCAAAATCACTAATGAGCTTTATGCTTTAAGTAAGCAGAGCTGCTATTTTTGGCTAGCCATTTATAAGCCCCTCAGAACACGGGGACTTTTTGCCTATGCTTATAGTAATGTTTACATTAAATTCTGGGGGTTTACTCCTGATTTATAATAGTGTAAAGAAGAGTGGTATATGTCTCATTCAATATACAAACACGCTGTTTCAAGAAGTTTAATTTCACATGTTCACCCTGCAGCCTGGAGCAGTATTTAAAGAACAAATCACGCTACTTCACTATTAGATGAAATTAAAAGACATCTCAGCTAGGGGCTATCCCAGTTTTAACACGATGAAAAGTATAACATATAAAACTTTTTCAGATTACAGAGAAAACTGAGTCTGAAATAGCATCACTAGTTTAGATTTAAACAAAGATTAAAGCAGAATCTGATGTTTTCCACAGAAAGCATCACTAGTAGTACTTATCCAACAATGAATCTGGCATGGTAACTGAAGCAAAATGGTCTTTTTAATGATGGATGTTATTACACAGATGTGGTCTGAAGTTTACATCGCAGCAGTCACAGGCTTGTATTTCCCTTTAAGGGGTTGGAAATTACTGGAGAACTCTTAAAAGTTCTTAGTGAATCAATTGAATAGCTATGTGAGTAAAGACTTATGTGTCCACACAGTTTGCTTTGGCAGATTGTTTGACAAGAAAAAAAAATCAAGTGCACCCTGTAAGGTCATAGCTGCATTCTAAGATAGTAATGATGCCATATGAGCGTATTTTAAGGAAATGGCAAGCAGAAATAATTACTAAGCAATGAGCAAGCATTGCTTAGTAATGTGAAAGTCTATTTTGTGCTTGTGCAAAACTACTCAGAATGGATTTTATTT